ACAAACAAAATTTCTCATAAGATATTATAGAACAGTTATTATTCTCAATTAAAGTATTAAATCCCAAAATAGATGACTTTAAAACTCCAGGAAATGATATATCCAAAACATTTTTTAAAAATTTATTTAATGGCAATATCAATAATAATATTTTCGCCAATTCTATATTAGATTCCTGATACTCAATTAAAGAAACAATTTCATTAAGCAATCTATCTCGACATATTAAATTCTCAAGCGATTCAATCATATAATAAAATGATTCCAATAAATCTATATTTTTTGGCATATATTCATTCGCTGTTTTAATTATGATAGACACAATTTCACCCTTCATTACTGGACTGTCTTGAAAATCTATTAAAGAGACATTTTTGGAATCAGATAAACTTGTTTCCATATTCTTAAAGATCAAATTGTCTTTTTTGTATTCCTCATAAGTTATTTCAGGAATCATAATCATATCTTTTTCCTTAGCCGCTTTATTAACATTTTTATCATCGCTAAGCTCACTAATTCCTAATATTTTATGCCTCATATACAACTTTATTATATAAATCAGTTCCATTTTGCAATATTCAAGCCATAGTTCAGAAGAATACATATTTAATCGTATTCCTCGTTGCATTAATACACGTGCAGCAGAAATGTTTCCATTCCAATTTAACTCGTGATATCCTGCAAATATCCATAGCTTAGGTTTTGTAGGGTGAAATTGTAAAGCTCTATTCACATAAACTTCAAACATACAAATTCACAAATTTTACTTTGAAATAACTTTTCCAAGAAGTTTAGTAGATTTTTCATGCTGAGCATAACGAATATACTGTAACCATAAATCTATATCACCATGAAACTTTTGAGTAGCCCTTTCAAATATAAAAAAAATACGTCTTACACCTCCCCAATCAGAAATAGTAGGCTTTCCTTTAATATCTATAAAAATAAATATTTCCTCTAAAATAAATACTTATTAAACTTAATCTTTTTATTCTTTTTTTTCTTAAAGCTTCTAAATTCATTTCATATTCAACATATTTCAAGAAATCCTCTTTCTTAACAATTCTACGAGCCAATGCATATTCAAATTCTGTTCTTCTTTTTATAATCGATTTTATTTCTGTAGGTGTAAATATTGACCTTCTTTGTAAATCAATAATCTCAGGAAAAGACTAAAAACAAAAGAAAAATATTTTACAAAATATTATAGAAAATACCTGTTCAAGAAAATATTCTGCCTTTTCTGACATTCTTTAAAAAAACTAGAAATCTATATAATCATTCTATAATATCTTCAAAACAAAAAAATATAGTATATTTTTAAAACAAAATTAGATATTTTAACAATTTTCTGATTACTTTGAACAATATCAAAAAAATCTTTAAACCCTAATCTTATACATCTAAACCTAAACACTAGCCTTAATTTAGCTTTAACATTTTCTTGATAATAAAATCACTATCGATTAAATCTTTTGTAGTTAACAAAGAAATATTAGGGTACTAATAAAAGGCTAGCCATAAAATTATTTTATCACAATAAAAAATAAATTGCTTTTGTTTTAATTGAAAGAAACTATAGTATTTAGTGTTCGAAAAAGCTAAATTTAACTTGTAAAAGCGTAAACATACGGAATTTATTAAAGTGTATAATTTATTTAAATTATTAGAAAATCTATAAGTAAAAATATAATCTAATTAACATTATTTACAAATTGGAAGAAATTTTAAAAGTCAAAAATAACTACTTACTACAGTTTTACATAATATCTTGCTGGTCAAGATGCATCAATCATCAACACGATTAATGCGAATGACAGCAGATGGTCGTCCTTTTACTAATGTAAAATAATAAATTTATTCAATGAAAGTTAATCTATTAAATAGGATTATAAAGACTTGTTTTCAACATTAATTGCAAGTCTTTCTCTAAATACACATCGTGTACACTTTAAAACATTTCCTTTTTCATTTACTACAGAAGAAGCGCTTGCCAACTTACGTTATCTTAAACTTACGCATTCAACACGATTACCAGATGCTAAGGTAAACTATGAAAAACTCTTAACAATAATTTCGAAGATATGTAAAAAATAAAGCTATTTGTAGAGTAGTTTTTATTTTAAATGCATTAAAGCATTTTTTCAAATATTTTATTTCATTTAAAAAACCTAATAACTAATATTAACAATTAGGATCCATCTAGAATTCTTGTTACGACAAGCACCACTACGTTTAGTATGGCAGAAGATATTGCAAAATTATTATGTCAAAGATTTATTCTTTCTCACTTTATTGAATCAGTCAATGAAAAAAATCTCACTATTTTTAAAGATAAAGCTATTTGGAAATTAACGCCAAAAGGAATTGCAATTGTATCGCGATTTGTTAAGCGAAATGGTGTGGATACACCAGTGATAAATGATCTTCTTGCATCTCCTTATAATACAATGCAACTTGTAATTCTTGAACGAGATCCAGAAACAGATGCCATACTACAGGATCCTTTTATGATAGAAATAATATTTCGACATTTTGTTGGCATAAAACCAAATATTGTTTCTTCGAACATTCAAGATTCTCCAGATGATTATACCGATGGGATTGTCGGTGTCCGTATTATTGAACAGAAATTTATTGAATCTTCTCGTTATTGTTTTAATGGGCTAAGTGCATTTCTATGGCTTATGAGATGCTGTACTACTATAACATATAGAGAGGCAATAGAAATTGCTACTATATTTATCAATCAAAATTTAATTATTCGTGAAAATACAGAATCTCCTTCTAAAAGTGATAGTTTTAAATTCAGTTCTTCTAAGAATGATATATATATGCTTACTGATAAGGGATTTTCAATTTCAGGATGGAAAGACTTAGATGTTTATTCAATTAGCACAGTAACTACCAAATCAAAATTCTTCTTCATTGGAGCTAATCGTAAGAAACAAACCACAATAAAAAACATACGGCCCAAAATTATACAAAAAACTGATCCAGAATCGTATTTAACATTTCAAAAAGATATTTTTTATGATATTAATACAGGCCTTCTAAATAATGAGACGAATCACAAACGTCTTTTTATCATTTTAAATGATCCAGCATTGCGTTTTCAATTCAGAATATTTTTGCAAGAAAACTATTGCGAAGAAAATCTTTCTTTTTATTTCGAGTCTATACAATTTTTTCAACTTGCTGAGCATGCTATAGATCCTATATCTATTCAAGAATCTTTAACAAAAGCTTATGGTAGATACATATAAGATTTATAAGCATATTAAATCCTTAATAGATATATATAATGCATTTCTTGTGGAAGGATCGCCTTGCGAGCTTAATCTTGATTATGCATTAAAACAAAGTCTAGCAGATTGCATGACAACAATTGTATTAAATGATAATGAAACTATGAAAAATACTTTAGATTCTGTTGTAAAGCTTTTCGATAAAGCACAGAAACAAATACTTAGGCTAATGGCAAGAGTAAGCATATGATACTGGTCAATATGCATTTCTAATTATAAATAGGATTCTGTTCCAAAATTTCTTCAATCGGCTACTCAGCTTAAAAATGATACCAATCAATTTCAAGAATTCATGAAACCAACCTTCTCAACTCATCCTATTTCTCAAACATCATAGTCTTCTTTTTTAAACAGATAAATATAAGTATTCAAATCTAAATCTATTATCCCCTCTTTACTGTCTTTTATTCAGAATGCAATATATTTAATAATGGTATGTATGTATTATATATATATATATATTATTTATATATATTATTTATCATATATATGATAAATAATATATAATTGATGCGTATTTGGAAAAACTATATTAGTAATATTATAATTTTTATTCACTTTGATCTTCCATTTCATTCAAATCCTCATTATCGGCACTCAATGCACTCAACCGCCGTATTTGATCCATAGATCTAATCATTATTAGTTTGTCTTTTATTTAATTTATTTACTTTGCAAAAAAAGATCTAATCTCATTAATTTCCATTGAACCCAGATTATCCATCTGAAGATGCGTTTCATTTAGAGAAGCAAGCCCGTCTCTTGTCTTTCCTTGCCTTGTTTCCCTTAAATCTCGTAAAAGACGACGAATTAGCTCAGGTTGATCCAAATCATCTGAAGCACTAATACCAACGTTAATTCCTAACATTAAACACAGATTTTTCAAGACACTTCAAGTAAAATACTAGATATCTCAAACCAACGAAGCGGTAAAGCAGAAAATCCATTTTCTACCTTGTGTTCAGCCTCAAGAAATCCTTCCAATGCTTCTTGAGATAACCATGAAGGAGGAAGGATGTTTGCCCGTTTTTGACGTTTTAAAAAGATAGCCATCCACAAAGGCACTGTTACTCTACTGGGAGGCTTAAATTGAGGAATAATTCCCTTCAAAAATAATCAAAAAATGAAAAAATATCATAAAATATTTTTACACCAATCAATGGCAAAGCATCCATTGTTTGTCTTGGGATAATCTCAATAGGAGATGATTCAGCAATAAAAGCAATTTCAGATGGCGTAAATGCAAAAATTTGACATGGTCTTAATGCCATTGAAAGTAGACCTTTTTTATCCGTTAAAACGAGCTTGACAATTAGGGCTTGCACCAATCATACATATATTCTCAATTCATAATTCATTTTTATATAAAAAAGATGTATAATAAATAGACTTTATAACATATTTCCATTTTTTTAAGTATATATTTTTTCATTTTAAAAAGATACTATAAAAATAATTAATAAAAACTAAACCTTATATTTGAATATCATTCCTTTTATTTTTTTATGCTTTAAAGAGTTAAGTAAAAGAATCATTATTATTCTTTTATATAAATACATCTCCAATAGCTTTAAATAACTCATCATTATCTAAAATAACCAATCACTTCTATTTTCAAATAATGAAATATTATCTATAATTAAAAATAATGTATTCTCTTTTTATAAACAAACATAAATGTGGCATTTACTATTTAGAAGTATTTTCAAAACTTAACATAAAACTAATTATTTTTCAAAAAATAAACTACATTAGTCACAAAAACTATTTTTAACTATGAACTATGATCTTTAGCCTCGAAAACCCTTGTTTGTTTAAACTTTACCTGAATTACTAGCAGCCTTAATATAAAATACTTTTTTGAAAATTAATTTAAATGTCTATTAACAAAATTCTTCAACAAATTAAAGATTCCATTCAATTCCAATATTTAATCTTAAACACTATCAAAAAACTATAAATTAATCCTGTAGACCTTCAAAAAACCAATCAAAAATATTTCAAATATTAAATTAATCTAGAAAAAAACTAACAAAAATACAACTGTTTCTACAAATATATTCAATAATTCAAATAGTAATATATTTTCAATATCCAGTAAAAATAATGCCATATTTTCAAAAAAAATAGAACAATAAGTATTTAACACTAACGAAAAACTAATTTGTTTAACCAAATTAATATGTAACCCTTTACTAGAAAAAAAAATATCATAGAATGACCTTTAAAGTGCTAATAAAAGACATTTCTAGCAAGAATGATTATTTAATTCTTAATCGTTTACCCCATAACATATCTTCTATAAACGTACGATTCCATATATATCCACAAAATCTTAAATAATTACTAATTATAGCACAGAATCCAAAAAATGAAAAGCCAACAATCTAATTATATAACGACTTATACGCTTTAACAAATTTTGTGATCATAAGAATGCATCACAAAAAAATAATTAATCCCATAATAAATAAACCATTGATTGTAAGACTAAAACAAATATAAACGCAAGATGAATAATAACAAGCCCGAAATTAAATAAGTCTTATATAATATGCATCCAAACGATTTAAAAACTAAATATCTCCATAAATTCCAAAGAAAACTACAGACGAATAAAATCTTGATCAACATCAATAGAAGAAGAGTCTGGACTACTAAAAGTATCTAAATCAGACTGACTAGACGAAGAACTATCTTTATCAGGTAATCTCTCAACAGACTGAGCATTAGTATTTGAAATTAAGTCATTACGTTCAAAGCCAAAAGATGATTCATCATCACTTGTAGATAAGAAACATTCCTTACGTTTACGTGCAGCCCTTTCAATATGAGGGAGTCGACAATTTTTGATTAAGCATAAACCCTTCTCAGAAAAATCCGGGCATTCACGTAAATGTTTTTCTCGACATTCTATACCCTTTTCACAGTAGCCATCTATTGCAAATGCTCTACAAATAGGAGCAGAAGGATTAACTCTAACATGAGCATATAAACAATTTGTATTTAAACATTGACCACGTAAAAAATGTAAACATGCAGAAACACGATGTGGTGTTGGCTCATGAGACAAATCGCAAGCGTTTTTATTTGGACATTTCCCCTTCATAAATAACGGGCATATGGCTACATGATTCGGGTCATGTTTATAAGAACAAGACTTTCCTTGTAAACATTTTCCTAAATTAATTTCAGTTTTCATAAAAAAAAAAAACAAAAATACCTGTTCGTGTATAATATTGGCAATATTTCTCACTTTTTTTTTCGAAAGACTTATCTCTTTTATATAATCAACATAAAATAAATAAACATCTATAAAAAATACCCAATTTTCGACTTTATAAGTGATGTATGCCATAAATTTCCATTTTTAGTCCTCCAAAAAACAGAACCAGATACAACAGCTTTCTTCGATGTTTCCACAAAAGGATCATTATCTTTTATATATATCAATAAAGAAAAACATATAAAAATACATACCTTCTGCTCGAATAAGTTTGTATCCATTCTTTTTAACATAAAACTTAACACCATCAATCATTAATTCCTTTATTCCGTTCACTCTAGCATCTTTATATTTATTTTTTTTAAATATCTCATCCTGTTTCATTTTTTTCTGCAAACGAGTCTCTTCAATTGCCTTTGCCCTTTTTTTTACAGTACTATCATAAATACTTGCATTAATCAACTGAAGATGCCTATCCTTCTTCTGTATCCATCCTGTAGATACAGATTGTGTCTCATTATTCACATTAGTTTCTGAATGTCTTGTACTAATAACTAATGACATATGTCTTGATCTATGTCTAGGATTTTTTAAATAACTACACGGTTTAAAAGATAACTTTTCAACATCCTTATTTTCAATTTCTCCTACAATTCATATAGATTCTTAAATTTCTAAAACATATATTTTATCTTACCTCGTCTATGTTTATGACGATTAATCGCTCCTATTTTTCGTTATTTCTACCCAAAAAATAAGACATTTTCTATGAAATATCTACCTGCAACTGTTGCTATTTCGTTTAGAATAGCAACCTCTCTAATCCTATCTTTTTTTTCCTTTTCTATATATTTTTTTTTCTCCATCATAAACTGACCGAATTCAATGGGACTTCAAGTACTATAAATTTATAATTTTATATATCTTTTTAATAGAAATACACCAAAAAAAAATACAAGAAAAAATGTACAAATTATTAAATATCCTTGATAAACAAATCTTAATATAACTTAATTTTTTTATTATAAATTAATATTTATAATGGTTTGTAAAAATAAAAGAATATATAAGCAATCCGCTTAAAAAATATTTTTCCTAATAAATTGATAATTAATTCCTAAGAGCTTTAGAAAATAAACTATATGAAAAAAATCTAATAAGAAAATCTTACGTACATCATTTAATAAATGAAATTTATGTGCTATATAACATCTTTTTTTATAACCATTTTCAATTGAAAAGTTCATCTTAGTAATCAACTTATCTTCAATAAAAGGAATTTCTCTATAATAAATAAATATATTTCATTATAAGTGCTACTCTTTTTTAGCCATATAAAGAATGATTAAAAAGTTAAACAATCAGTTATAACATTTAGAATTAAAAATAAAAAAATACTATACTATAAGAAATTCAAACAGAGAAATGAATAATTTAGATAAATATCGATAAAGCTATGTTATATAATTTTAAATAACCATTTTCTATGTTTTTATTTGAAAATAAAAACAAAAAATTATTAAAAAAAGCTTTTTTTAATCCATAAATAAAAAATCCCATTACATTAGTATGAATACACAATATAAAACTATTTAATTGTGTTTAATATCTATAATAAGCCTGTGTTTCAAGCGAGACACCATATCCAAAATCATAATACAAGGTATAACAAAAAAAGGTAGATAGAGAAACACAAGGATTATCTTATCTTCTAAGGTAATAAAATATACGTTAAAAAAAATTAGTTCAAAAATACATGCAAAAACAGTAGTTGCTACAATTGGTTAATTTTTATATAATAAATAAATAAAAGACACCTGTATGTGTTGCATAAATAAGAATAGGAATTTGTACACGTGGATTATCTAATTCTATTAAAAACAATACGCTTAATTTTTCTGTTACTATAATAAAGTCCTCGAATCCCATAAAAAAACAAAGGCAATTGAAAAAAAGCTTCACAAAATATAAAAGAGAAAAACCATCCTCCAGGATACGATTTCCATCCCATTAAAGGGTCCTTGAAAGTTGATATATACCATAATTGTAACTTTGTTAGTTTTTCTAATGTCAATTTTGCCGGATAAATGGGTACCAGATCAATCAAGAGCGCAACAAAAATACGTACCACAAAATAACATGTATATAAGAAGTCAATAGGTCTCCTTATAAGGCTTGGACTATTATTTTTTATTTGCAATATTTTCATGTTTTATATCTTTCAAATATAAATTTTAAATATTAGAGAAAATATACTTATATAATAATTAAATACAGAGATACTTTTTTAATTAGTAAATAATAATAATATTTTCTATTAAACTTCTTCCTAAAAATATATCAAACTCATCCTTATTAAATAATATTCCTAATTCATTAATATATATATAATTTTTGAATAAAAAACATGTCATTATGAATTCATATATATTCGATATTTGAAATAAATATTAACTTTTTTTTCCACTTTAACAAATATTACACTTGAAAATTCATTATTAAACTTTTGTAGATCCAAAATTTCCAAATCCCATTATTTGAGCCATTGAATCATCTTGAATAGATTCGTCTTCATTTTTTAACATGAGAAACTTTTTCTTTACGTCTCATTTTCTTTTTTTCTTTCCTTTCTTTACGTTCTTCTTCTTCTATCGCTTGTTTTTCTGAAATTCTTTGACTTAAACTAAATTCCGAATGTTTTTTCTCATCAACCGTTTTCTTTCTCAACCATGCAAGCCTTTTTCTTACATCCTCAAGCGTTACTCGTTTTTGTCGAAGTGTTTGATTTGTAGCTCTTAAATCTAAAAAAGAAATTAAGCCTTAAATTATCTATTAAACATAATTTTTACGTTGTTTACTATTAAGATGATCAATCCAGCTATTTGAATCTTTGTATGTTTCATTGCATGCCTCGCAATAGTAACCCACACCTTTTCCTTGACGCCCTGTTGATGCTCCATAAGGAACAAGAATAGTTTTATTCAAATTTTCCTCAAGGTTTAATTTATCTCTAGCTTCCACAATTTTAACATCGGGTGGTGTTGCTTCACGCTTAAACTTTCCATGTTTCTTTTCCCATCTTATTCGAGCCTCTTTTTTCTCTCTTTCTTCTCTATCTGCTGCTTTCTGTGCATATTCTGCCAAATCCTAGCTCATTATTAATTTTCAAAAACACTTATTTTCATCAAAAATATGTCAATTCTCACCCAAGTTCTTCTGAAATTAGGTTCTGTACTATTCTCATAAATTCCTTTAGAAACCATCAAATAAAACTAAAAATAATAAGTCTATTTTATATAAATTTTACCAAATACTCACCTTAGTATAAATCTCGAGATTTCGATCACTTATCAAGGTTCAAAAAAAAAAATAGAAAATGTGGAACAGCCTAGACCCGGAGATATTGAGGCTTCGATTACTGTCAAGACCTCAATTCCTGGAGATTATTCAACAAGTTGATTATTTCCTTTTAAACACCAGTATTTAACGTATTTTCTAGACACATCCTGAGTTAGCAGAGGCAGCAGTTCATAATCCTGAAGAATTTAAAAGAATAGTTCAAAGCATGTATTTCGATAGAAACTACTTAGAGATTCAACGGCAGAGAGAAATTGTGCGTTTTTATGCGTTTTTTAAAGTTCTTTATGAATTTTAATGAATTTTTAGAGTGCACTGAACGCAGATCCATTGAATATTGAAGCACAAGCAAGAATTGAGGAAATTATACGGTAATATAATTCCTTTTAAATAATGGATTGAGTTGACTCTATTTTAGTCAGGAAGCAGTAATGGAAAATCTAGAGAATGCTATGGAATATCATCCCGAGAGCTTTGGACGAGTAACAATGTTATACATAGATGTGGAAATTAATAAATATAAAGCTAAAGCATTTGTTGATTCAGGCGCTCAAAATACAATAAGTAGTTATTCTTTTTTTTTTAAAGTATTAACTTCTAATCCAGTGAGTCCATCATGTGCAAAAGCATGCGGGTAAATTTTGAATCTAATAGATAAATACATCTCTAAATTTATAAAGAATTACTCATTTGATTGATAAACGTTTTTTTGGTGTAGCCAAAGGTGTAGGCACAGCAAATATCATTGGACGTGTTCATAGTGCTCAAATTAAAGTGGGACCACTATTTTTAGCATGTAGTTTCACTATTATTGAAGTATAAAAAGTTTACTAATGTACGTTTCTTTAATTTTTTCTAGGGAAAAGATATCGATATTTTATTTGGTCTTGATGTTAGTTTAATTCATTATCAATTATATTTACTTACATTTTTAAGATGCTTAGAAGTCATCAAGCATGTATTGACTTAAAAAGAAATGCACTTGTTATCAATGATACATTAATACCCTTTTTATCAGAGGCGGAGCTTCCTGATAGCGCTAAAATGGAAACAATTTATGTACCTGAAACAATAAACCATGATAGCGAACAAACAAAAGCCAATAATACTCAAAAACAATTAGGATCTTTGGATAATAGTAATATTTTAGATCAATCAGCTTATAAAGGACAATCAGAATCAAAATATCATGAAAAAGATATCCGTCAATTACAAGCATTAGGATTCTCGAAAGAAGAAGCACTACAAGCACTTGAAGCTGCTAATGGAGATGTCTCTATAGCAGCAAATTTCTTATTTTAAGTTTAATAAACCTAAAATCAATATATTATATTATTAATACTTCAATTCAAAAATACTATAACTTTTATATTACAAACCATTAGCCCATCCGAAATATCCAATATTTTGGGTAAACATATTTAAATACATCAATAATTTATACATTTTTTTTTTTAAATTTAAATATCATTATTTAATTTTAACTTAAAATATATTAAGACTTTCTATAAAACCTCCTATTTCTATAAAAAATATCAAAAACTAAATAAATATATCATATGAGAGAACCATATATTTATTATTTGACCTAAAATTTTTGCTAAATCATAAAAACAACTCAAATTTCAGAACAAAAAACACTCAAAATCATAAAAAATGAAACAAAAAAAAAAAAATATAGAAAAAAAAATCAGAAAAAACAGAAATATCAAAAAAGACAGCTTAAAAGTAATAAGAAGTAGAAAATTCTCAAAAAAAGAAAAAAAATATATAAAAAAAACACAAAAACAAAACAATTTATCTATTTCTGAAACAATATCTACATCTGGAAACAAAGAAATTAACAAATTCGTTGAAAAAATAGATAAAAATACACAACTTACAAGATTACAGCAAAAAATGAAATCAAAATTATCAGGAGGAAAATTTCGTTTAATTAATGAACATTTATATAATATTACAAGTAAAGAAGCAATGGAATTCTTCAAAGAAAACCCAGAAATGTATGAAGAGGTGATATTTTCAAAACATACAACATATTTTACTTAACGAATATAGTATCATATAGGTTTCCAAAACCAAATATCATCTTGGCCAAAGAATCCAACCGATTTAATAATTGAAGATTTATCTGAATTTATAAATGAATCCAGAAAAATGATTCTCAAGGTGGCGGATTTAGGATGTGGAGATGCAAAAATAGCAAGAACAATGAAAGATATATCAAATATTAAAGTATATAGTTATGATCTAGTGTCTCGAAACTCATTTGTTACTAAATGTGATATATCTAACGTATAAGGGTCTTTTTTTTGAATATAATAAAAGCTAACTCCAATAGCTGCCGCTTAAAAGCTCAACAATTGATATAGCTATTTTTTGTTTAAGTCTTATGGGAACAAATTACATCGACTTTTTAAAAGAAGCATGGAGAATTTTGAAAATGAAGTAATTCATTAGATTTTTAGAATTGCCTTCTAAATTATAAATAGCGGAAAACTATGGATTGTTGAAATTAAATCTCGATTTATGGATAATGAAGGAACAGCTTTTTGCACAGCACTATCATCACTTGGATTTTCATTTGTAAAAAAAGAAACTTCAAATAAAATGTTTATATATTTATATTTTAAAAAAACTAATAAACTTAATGAAAAGAATTTTGGCATATTACTCAAATCATGTATATATAAACGGCGCTAATCATTTCAAATATCTATTATACCCTTCTAGAGAGCACTTTCTATTACATACTTATCGCGATATTCTTGTATTAATTTCAATTTTTCTTCATTTAGTTCTTTTTTAGAATAATCTATAATATCTTTGAAAGTAATAATTGCTTTTACTGGGATTTGATATTCTTGACGCATCATCTCAACTACACTTACTTCACCATCATTTCCTTTTTCTTGACGATCTAATATTTCTACGATTCCAACTAATTTTCCTCCCTCTTTTTCAACAATACTTATCGCCTCTCGAATTGCTGTACCAGCTGTAATTACATCGTCCAAAATCAATACCTTCTTTCCTTTCATTGATGTTCCAACAATATTGCCTCCTTCTCCATGATCTTTTTTCTCTTTTCTATGGTATACAAATTCAATATTCTCTTTAGTTTTATCCAGTTCACAAAGTTTTAAAGTTGTAATTGCACCTAAAGGAATTCCTTTATACGCAAGTCCAAAAATAATATCAAATTCAATATTTAAATCTAAAATAACATGGGAAAAAGCAATTGCTAGTGATTTAAGAAGAACAGAACTATTCATAAAACTACTATTAAAAAAATATGGACTTTTTCGACCAGATTTTAAAAAAAATGTACCAAATTTAAGAGCACCAGATTTCTTTGAAAGAAAGAGAACATCATCCTTATAACCCATCTTTATCTATAAAAATACTTTTTAATATTTTTTTAACCAAAAAATAAGTGTTGAAATCTCGATTTAACAATTTAAAAACAGATAAGCTTATCTTGATAAAGACAATGCACAAGAACCTTCTATTAATAATATCATTTAAACTATTCAAGTTGACAGTATATTTCATATATAAATCAAAGAAATATAATACATATATTTTAAAAAACCAATCTATATATAAAGATATGATAGAAGACAGATATTTCCTAAAACTTCATGAATTCTGGGGAAAAATAGAAAACATATATATAAAATATTAAAAATAATAGGTTTTTAAATGTCATATAATCCTATAAAAATTAAAAAAAAAAAAAAATCAAATAATACATTATAATTTAAAGATATTTTAGATGAGATATTTTCAATCTTCATGCATATTTTTCGAATGGAATCATCCCATTGAGTCATTTCTATTTTAGAATTTTGATTTATATTATCAAATAAAACCAACTCAGAAATATGATCAATTTTAGCAGATATAATACCCTGTTCAATCATTTTCGCTACATAATCTTGAGTCATATCAACGCTTATACCAAGTAAGTCAGAAAGTTCAGAGAAACTAATATTATAGTATAGTTTGCTTATTGATAACAAATTGTGTTCTATAACAGCTCTCATAAATACGGTAGTACCATCTTCAAGTTCGATATTTTGATAGGGTTTTAACTTTTTTTGAAACTCTTTAATTTCACGAGGAAAAAGTATTTTTCTAAAATGCAGCTTTTCTAAAATAAAATAATTTGAAAAATTGACAGAATTATAATTCTCATAGAAAGTAGACAATATTTTAGATCGTGTAGGACACACCGGAGATAAAGCTATACAAATAATAGCGGCATCTCTAATAATAGAATTAGTATAATCGAATAAAATGAATCTTTTTATTACAAATATTCCAACCGTTGTATTTCGGAAATACATTCCATAGCACTCAATTCATAATATTTCTTACTTGCTTCTAAAAATTTCTGGCTTTTATCAAGAAAATTTGCTTGAATTAATTTAAAACGAAACAAAAGCTCTGGTTCACATGTATCATGATCAAGATATGCAGCTTTCTCAAAATACGTATTAAATAGAGTCATATTTTCTATTTCCAACAAATTTTGAAGAATCCATACATAAATTTTTAGTTTATAATTGTCTGAAAAAACCCTATATAAAATTATATTATTCTTTATAAACTTAACACATAAACCATTCACTCGATTCCAATGCAATTTCCTGTAGTATTTTAACAACTTGATGATATTCACAAGCATCTTCATATATTTTTGCTAACTTTTCTTTCATCTTATATACTAGTTCAATATCCAAAATTTTAAACTGTGTTTTAGATAAAATCATTTCAAGCACCTTCTTTTTCACTGAAACATCTTCAATTAAATCTAGATGTTCTATGCATTGTTCTAATATTTTTTGCATATTTAACCATTTTTTATCATTAGAAAAAACTTGAATTAAAAACTGTTCAAATTCTTCTAATTCCTCTGGAAATCTTGTAATTTTCTTAAATATATTCACAAAGTATGATGAATTATACTAATAAGAAACATTCTTCTGAATAATTAGAAGCATCTTTAACCAAATTAACTTTCATCTTTAAAAAACAAATTTCTAAATAATTTTAATTTTTGTATTTAAAAATCAAAAAATAATATAAAACAAATCAATTCATAAAAATCTTCTATCATATATAATGTATAGTGAAAAAAATTTAATATAAACCAATATATTTTAGAACGAAAGCATTAAATCTATTTTAACTTTCCTATTCTTTTTAATTCATTCCAATTTATTCAATGCTCTTTTATTTTTAATAAATAAACCAACCATTTATAATTCAACTTAAAATCAGTTTTATAATTATAAAATACATCAAAAAGTGATATACATATTAAGATTATATAGTCTGACATCAGATTAGATCAAGTTGAAAAAGTAAAATTAATAATCACTCTATATCTACATATACTAATACTTAAAGCACTAAATACCTCTAAAGAACCAAAGCTTACATGGCCTTTATTTCAGGGTTTTTAGGCCTTAAAAAACAAAAAAATACATAAAATATATCTGTAAAATATAATTCATCACTTGTCAGACCTACTACAATATATTTAAAATCTATCTTTTTAAAAATATCACAATATTATTAAAGACTAAAATAACATTTAAAAATAAAAAAACCAATAAAATTTATTTAAACCAAAGAGATTCAATATCTCTAGAAGAGCTATTGAGTTAATATGATTTACAATACAACTCGACATTTTTTCAATAGGTTACAATTGTACGGAAACGTTACCTGAGGAACGTTATAAAAATACCCGTAAGACTGTTAAGATTATTTAGAAATATTATTAAAAATTATAAAAAAGGTATTTTTTGACCAAAAAAGATGTCTTCATCACAACCCAACAAGCCATCTTATAAGCCGAAATTTCCTATCGCAAGGATTAAAAAAATCATGCAAGCAGGTGAATATAATAGAAACTAATTAGATTTATAATGAATAACAATATTAGATGAGGAGGTAGGAAAAGTAGCACAGATTACACCAGTTGTGGTTTCAAAAGCCTTAGAACTTTTTATGCAATCAATTGTAGATGAAACAGTTAAACAAGCTCGTATTAAACAAGCAAAGAAAGTGACGATTACACACATGTAGAAATGCCCCTATCTGAAGAAAAAAAGCCTTAATATATTGTTTAGGAAAAATGCAATTCAATCGGCTGATCAATTCGACTTTTTAATCGATATCATAGATAAATATACCAATACAGGAAGTTTTGAAAAAGATACAGGACATTCATCTGAAAAAATACAAGAAAATAAAAACGATATAACTTTTTTAGAATCTAATTCATCATCAAAAAAAAAGAATAGCAATTAAAATAAAAAAATGTTTTACACTGAAAAAATTCGTATAAGCATATATCAAAAAAATATACGTCCTTTTAAAACAGAAGATTCAACTAATGTAGAAAGATATAATGACAACTTACTTTCTTTTCAAATTTACAGTATATTAATATCAAAAAATACGAAATAAAATAGTATGATAAAGGACTTAAAAGCAAAAAGAACATATAAACCGGAACCATAGATAATACAAAAACAATGCATATTCATGAAATAACAGGTGTACTACAATTAATTTTAGCTTCCTTGAAAAGCTACATCGACTTTTTTGGCAATAGCATCTTTCTTAGCACTAAAGCCAGTCCCTTCATTAGAAAGTTGCACAATCAAAAGTTTAGACTCATTTTTCATAGCACCATTATTTTGTACATATAAACTAGATTCACACACATAACAAACTCCAGATTCACGGACAAATTGATCTAAACAAATAGTACATATAACATGACCACATAATTTCATAACTATAATATAAATTAAAAACATTTCTTAAAAAAAATAAAATAACTACTATAGGCACCAGATATATTAGAGAGCTTTTTTTTACAAGCAGGACAAATTCTCAGAAGCTCCTTACCTCCAGATAATTTGTTCTCAGTAAAATTAACCGAAATTAAAGATTTTAATGATATTTTATGAGGCTTGTCAGAACTCGATGCGGGGCAAATAGGTACACGTTTCTGCTTCTTTAAAATATCCTTATTATTTGCAGAAGGTGTCAAAGAAGGAATCCAGAATGATCCAATCTTTGGCTTTGATTCTGCTTCCTAGTAGTCTATTTAATATCATAAATTTAGGTCATATCCATTTACCTGTTCTTTAATATATTTTAATTTCTCTCTATCTCTGTCGTTTTTTGCAATCATCAGAAGCTCTTTTTTGTCAAGTTTAAATACATCTTTAACTTCCTTTTTTTGTAAAACTTCATCGTCATGTTTATCATCATTATAACGTGAATTAAAGCCCATCTGTAATACTTCAAATTCTTTAATAGTACGCATCCTAGCAATTTCTTCAATTCTTTTCTCTTCAATTTCATTCTGACGCTTTTTTTTCTCTATTTCTTCTTCTATTTTTTTTATCTCTTTACGTTGAGTTAAAAGATTCTCCATAATACAAACTTTACAAAAAATATCACCATTTTCTTCACAAGAAACTGTATCACGAGTTTGAGAAAGACATAAGTGGCATGCATCGAACAAACGAAATGAATCACTTTCAAGTCTTTGCTTTTTAGTTCCATAATCTAACATAGAACGTTCATCTAAAAAATCATGTCAAAAACATAAAATATGTATTCATTGAAATAATACAGTTTGTAAAAAAAGACAAACTAGTATTTCTTTTTGAGTGTCGTGACATTTAATAATATTTTTTTCAAATTTTGATACCAAAGTCAAATCTAAAATATTTTAATTAAAAAGAAATATTGATGAATATTAATCTACTTCAATATAAGATCATGCAAAATAATAAAAAAAGTCAAATTTTTGAATCATCTCAATTTTCAACATTCAAAAATATTAGATCTAAATCTATTTTTGATAAAAAAATATTAATATTTTAAATTTAAAAACCTAGATTTTAGTAATTTTTGATTTAATACGTCAAATCCATTAGACTATATATATTTATAATAGAAATTCAATAATAATATTAAATATATAAAAACTTTCTTTTATTTTAAAATTGACACTAATATTCATAAATACTAAATAAAAAATAAGCTAGTATAAACCACCACTAATTTTTAAAAGTTAGAAAAGATATTTATAAAAATATATAAAAACCTAGAATATTAGCTTTAAAAGATATGAAATGATCAAGATATTTTCATAAAAATGCAAAGCATTAGTATTAGATTATTTTGCAATTAATTTATAAATATATAACTATTGAAAAATAATAGAAAAAGAATCAATAGATAAATTAAACAATAGTATATTTCCAAAATCAAATTTGATAAAAATTGAATAAAAAAACAGAAAAAACTATACCAAAATATAAAGAAAATTCGCAATGAAAGATATATATTATAGGAACTTGCCTAAAAAATATCACAAATTAAGTAATAACTCCATACTAAATTCCAGAGATTTTTATTTCAAAACATCTATAAATTGAAAACCAGATGTTAAATTTGATTTTTCATCACCTAAAGCAACTTCATTATAAGATGAACGTATGCATGCATTTTTAAAAGTAGGAATCAGACATTCAATTAAAAAACTTTGTATTGTTATATATCCTCGAGCAATTGTATCACATGACATATATTCAATCTAAAAATATTTAAGTAAATATGCTTCTGAATGTTTTTCGTTTCATTTACATTAATTATTACACCTTTATTTGTACTTGCTATACGAACTATGAAATCATTGATTTCATACATATCACCATCAAGCTAAAAAAAATTAAATATATATAACATTAAAGACACAAAATAAAAACATGAATGGTTTGTCTCATATTCCAAAGTTTTGCTTTTATAATCATCTGTTCAAAATCCCCATTTACTTCAATAGACGTCTTATTAACTTTACAAAAAAGAATTCCAGGATAATATGACATAGAAACCATATGTAAATGTTTAGAATACCTAGTATAAAGTTTATATGTCATAGACCACCGTCCTAAAATAAATCCTTATCAATCTAATATAAAAAGCAAAATTCCAAAGCTACCTATTACTTGAGCTAAAAATAATTGAAGTCGTTGCTGAATAGACTCAATTAACATCATTCCTGTATCGTCTTGACATAAGAAAACACTATAAAATGCTAGTTTCTTTTATTTTAAGAAAAAATATCAAAACAAACCCAGAAATTGGCATATTTTTAATAATGCTTTTTCTATGACTAACGTTGATAGTTCATTAGAGAGAAAAATCAATAGAATTAACGTTTAATCTTAGACTATTTAAAGCAATCATAGAAAAAATACTATCTAATTTTTTTTAGAAAATCAAATGAAATTCTATAAAAATTATAAAACATCATATAAAATACCAAAAAGTTAATTTTAAAGGCTAAAATAAATAAACATTAATCAATTTAATCATGAATTCATATTATTGTTAATATAATTTAAAACCTCTATTTTAAAAGAATTTAAGAGGTTTCTTTTAATTAGAAATAGATGTAAAAAAGTAAAAGTACTGTAGGAAAAAATATTTTTAATAGATCTATATAATATATTAATAGAGCAGTAAAACGTATTAAAAAATATATTTATCCATATTTTTTTAGAGAAACAAGTTTATAACATCAAAATATTCGTACTTCTATATATTATAAGGAGAAAAATAGACATTTAAACAACTTTAGAAATAATTAGCATTAATGAATAGTATTTTATAAAACATTTTTTTTATAAAAAAAATATAAAATTGTATTTATATTTTAAAAATATTGATTTTTATCTATTGAATTTAATTAAATCCTTTAATTCTATTTCTTAAATATTTGTAATATCAAGATTGCAATTTTATAATTTTATAAAAATTTCATTATAAATATTATATTTTTTCAAAAATTAAATTATAAGAAGCTAATTTGTAAACTTAACAAATAAAAAATCATTCAAAATAACAGAAATTTAAAACTCAAATAAGCGTAAGTATATAAAAAACTAATATATACATTTTATTCAAATATTTGTATAACAAATATGTTTGATTCAAAATACATCAATGATCTAGAGATAAAGGATGATTTTAAAAATACTTTTATAAAAAAATAGCCATTAATTATTCATATGTTCTAATTATATTAAAATATTCAAGTTAGTTATTTCAAAATTAGAATTATTATCTAATTCACTTACAAATTATTTGATACTTTTTTTAAATCCAAAACTTCAGAATCAATTTTTGTTCCATCATTAATTACAGGAAGCTCTGAAGATTCCTCATATAATAAAGTCTGTTGATCTTTAGAAGAAAACTCCTCTTTAATAGCAGTAGAAGAGCTAGGGTTTTCATCTTCTGATGTTTCTAACATATCCGTTATCATTTTTTCAACTTGTTGTTTCATATCATTAACATGATCTATTTTTTTTTGAATTTCATTGAGTTGTTCATTTTCCTTACTCAACATAGAATTATTCTCTTGAAGAAGGGCTTCTAATTGTTTGATAATATCTTCACGTACCAAAATTGCTGCTTTAGAAGTACTATAAGATAATTTAAGAGATTCTAATAATTGAAAAAGCTTTGAAACATATAATGGTGAAGCAGGTGTAGCTTCCGCTTCTATAAGTTGCGAATAAAAGCCAAATGAAGAGCCAATTGCCAATGATGATGATGAAATTGATTCAATAAGGCTATGATACAATAAATTAATTTTAGACTAACCATTTATAAATATAAAAAAATCTTTATCAATAACAATTTACCAGTTCTGGGGCTAAAGATAATTTTAATAATCCTCCCATTTTACCACCAGATAGTGATTTTTTTACACTTTTTTCTGCAACTATAAAATTATTTAAATTAAAAAAATACCCAGAAAAACATACTTTCTAATCTTTTATTAACATCCATAATTACATTTTCAGAAAAAACATTCCTTTGTTCCCATACATTTGCCACATGTTTAAGTCTATTTTGAACATCTTGTGTTCCATGCCGATATGCATTTTCCATTGCTTCAGCAATAACCTTAAACACAATTAACATATAATACTATACAGAAAAATACAAACTGTTGAAAAAGCATTCACAAATTCCTCACGTTTACGAGCTTTAGATTGTTGTGTCACATCATTTGCTAAGTAAATCAAATTCAATTTTCTCAAACCAGATGCTTCAAAAAATAAGAACATAATACATAAATAAGATCTTTACCATCTCGAAGACTTTGCATCCATGTCTCAACAATTTGTTTTGCACTTCTTCTGTGAAATAAAACCCCTACCTAAATTAACCCAATTTTCTCAAAAAAAAACATAAATAAACATGAAGAAACACTTGTTATTTCTTCCTGAGATCCACTATTAAGTGCTGCAAACTTAGATCGGATCAAATCTGGCGTCGCCATTGGTTTATCAAGATTTTCTTAATCACTAATAAATTGAATCTTAAATACTCAAAAATACATTCAAAACTCAGGAAAAAAAAATAAAAACAACAACTTAACAAAAAACAAAATAAGAAACTGTATTTCAAAACGTTTAAGAGACTATCTTAAGCCTTAATTTCTAATATTTAGCTATTTTTTAATTGACTCTCGATAATATTGATCAACTAGATAAAAACGGACGAGCAAGTAATTAAGAGGTCGACATCCAAATTTTAAAAAAAAAACAGGTTTCCTTAAGATAAAGCTATAAAATATCATAAATCTAATACTATTAGGAAAAAAAGAGCAAAAAAAGCAGTATTTAGAAGCCATTTAAAAAAAATAAACTTTTCAGAAGATAGGTCTTCCATGTCTAATTTTCCATCTTTAGAAGAGTTTAATTCTGGTGTTTGTTGTACAATATCTGATAAAAATCAAGTAAATTAATGCAAGATTTTTTTTCAGATCTTTTTTATGATAAAATAGAATGAATCTGAAATACAAGACGAAACGTTTATAAAACCAATACCATTGAAAGATATAGATGCGCAGAGGGAGGATATGACATACAAAATTTCAGAAAATACTAATGAATCAGTTTTTCTTGAGTAATTATGTTATTACTAACAGGTAAATAAATAACTTAGATAATAATAGAAAATGGAAACAACAAAGAGAAGCAAATATTCAAAAACAAGAGGAAGAAGACCGTTTAAAAAAAGAAAATAAAATAGAAAACGCTAAAAAAGCTATTGATAACTTTTTTGAAAGTTATAATAGAAAAAAACAGGAAAAAATCCAAAAAAATAGGTTATAAAAATATATATATGGTTTATTGATGATTAATTTCAAGAATAGAGAAAAACAGAAAGAGTTCCTACTAAATAGAGATAAAGATATCTCAGGAATGCTATGGGATCGTGTTGTTAAACTTCTTAATCTTTCAGAAACATCAACTGGATTAGAAGATAGCAATATGTCGAAATTTAAAGAATTATTATTAAAACTTCAAAAAGACCCAAATGCACCAGGCGCAAATGATATTTAATTGTTTTAATATATTTATACATTTAAATATGATTTCTGTAATTACATGTATCTTTTTTAGAAAAACAGAAATGTTAATATCAATAATAAAAAATCATTTTTTTTTGTAGCATGATAACTAGTCTATTACATTTTCCTTTCTATCAAATCTATTCATTTTTTATAGAATTGTATCCTTGCATTTGGAATTTCATCAATTGCATAAATGCAGAATCAACATTTTTATTTAATTCAATATAAGAACCTTCCTCAATTAATTTACCGTTCTGATCAAGAACAATAATTTTATGAGCTCTTTTAATTGTACCAAGTCGATGAGCTTATACAAATAAGTTTGTAAATAATAAAACTTATATTTATATTTACCAATAGTTATTGTAGTAAGGTTTTCTTCTTGAATTAAATCTTGTAGCGCTTGATCAACCAACACTTCTGATTTCCCATCCTAAAAAAACTCAATACAGAAAAACATATGAAGTTATCTTACAAGTGCAGAAGTGGCTTAATATGTTAGTAAAATACAAACTAAAAGTTCAAATTACCTTCATCTAAAATTAATATTTCAGGTTTCCTAACCAATGCTCTAGCAATCGCAATCCTAAATTACCATAAATAATTGTATAAAAATATTTATTTATTAAATTGCCTTTGTTTTTGACCACCACTAATTAAAGTTAGAAATAGCTTATTTATTAAAAATAAATCTTACCTTAATTGTATTCCATTGCCTCCAATATAAGTATCAATATTTTTAGAAAAATTCATAATAAAAGTAGAATTAGATTTTTCTATTGCTTCTATTATTTCTTCTAGTGTCGCATCTGGCTTTCCATATGCAATATTCTCTTTTATAGTACCAGGAAAAAGGGAAGGATTTTGTGGTACAATACCAATTTTTTTCCGCAATTGTTTTAAGTTAATTTTTTGAATATCTATATCATTAACAGTAATTCTCCCAGAATTTACATCATAAAATCTTAAAAGAAGATATGCTATTATTTATTTTAATTAATTAACTAAAAACAGAAGCACATACCAATTGTCGACTTCCCTATTTTTATTAAAAAAGTCTAAAAATAAAATTAATTAATTACCTCCCCCACTAGGACCACATATTGCGACATTCGTACCTTGTTCTATTGTAAATGATAATTTAGAAAAAATAGGCATATCTGGGCGTGTAGGATATGAAAAACAGACTATGAATTAGCATTGTGCAAAAATAGAGCATCTACTTTACCGTCTTCAAACTTAATAGGCCCTTTAATAGTATCAATAAAAATACCTACTTATTGTAATGTAAGCTTAAGTTTTAAAAACACAAAATCATACCTGTAGGTTTCATAGTTATTTTCTTATCAATTAATTCAAATAATCGAGATGATGCTCCCAACCCCTTCATAAATTCTGAATAAAAACCACTTAGCCCAACCATAGAATTTCCGGTATATGCTGTATATAACAGAAAAGAACTAAGATCACCAATAGTTATTATAGATTTATTAACCATACGACTCCCATAGGCAAGAATAATTAATACTATTAAATTCCCAGAAAATCCAACCTAAACGTTTTAATACTATACAAAAACTATTTTTAAAATTTACTAGTCCCAAAAATGTACTATTAAGAAATGCCTATATATATTATATTAAAATAAAAAAAAACATAAAATCTTTATACATCTTTCTTAACAAGTTGAAATATTTCCCGAATTTTATTATTATAACGCCGTAATTCAATTATTTCACCTATTTTATATAAATAACAATTTTAATTATTTAAAATATACCCGTAAATGCCTTAACTACATGCATGTTAGAAAATATAATATAAATTATAAAATTCATCACTTATATGTATATTTCCAAGATCTTCTGAAATTTTTATTAAATCACCTAAAGTCTTTTGAATCTTTTTTGATAAAGCTTTTATATATTGTCCATAAAATACCTATAAAATCAATGAAAACCAATCATATAACAATACTTACTGAGCCAACAACAATTGGAGGTATAATTAACATCATAACAGAAGTTAATTTTACTGATATCCATGTCATCATTGTAAGCCCTGCAATTGTAGTTATTAAATATTTTAGACCATCTGAAACATTTTGAGTAAGAGATTTAGCAACAACTGCAGTATCTAGAAAATTAAAAAAAAAGAAAAAAACGGTGTTTTTTACCCGAAGACAGACGAGAAATCAAATCTCCACTCCTTAAATAATATCAATAAATTTCTTAAAGATAAAAGTACACTACGCATTAACATCAAAAAACCCTAAATCATGCTTAAGAGTATTTTGATATAAACGTGATCGTAACCTAGATATCACTCTTTCACAAATAATTCGCATAAGAAACAAACGACCAAAATTACATGCTCCACCAATTAGAAAAATAAAGGCAAGTCCAGTATAAAAGTAAATTGACTCAATCCCAAAAAAACTACTTATTGACGGTTTCACCATAAAATCCAGAATTCTCCCAATAATATACCTACAACATATATATATATTCCAAAAAATTTATATATACATACGGCATCGACATAGAAACAGACGATCCAAAGACAATAAAGACAATAGCAACTATCACAATAAATTTATTATTAAATATCCATAGAAATTACTAGAAAGCATTTTTTTTTCTCCTTTAAGAAATCTCATAACAGATTTTAACTGAAAAAAAATCGTTCTAAAATTTAAAATACGATTCTGCATATCCTCTTTATATACCATGATTTTCTTATCCATTTTTTCATCTTTCTAATACTAATTAAAAAAATCCTTTTTTCTCTTATTAACCCACAAAATCATGATATTCTCTTTTCTTAACGCCATTACATAAATAACGATTCCGAAATATTGCATCCGATTCATTATTTAATATAAAATAAAATAACTTTCCTTTCATACATTCAAATTTATTATATCTTATATCATTCAAATTATATATATATGTTCTCTTGTTCATAGAATTAACCAAAATAGACCTCAAGCTACCAATCAATCCAATACTTTCGAGATATAATGGACATCTAAATATAGTTTTCTGTATTCTTATTTTTCCAAATGGTTCTTTAAATCTTCTAAAAATCATTTTTTTATTTTATAAAAAAAACCCCAAAAAAAGTGCAGAAAAAAAAGAGAAATATCCATAAAATATCATTTATAACAGTTCCATAGTCATTAAAGATGTTTTTATCTATTAATTGATTCAAAAATACTTTTTTTCAAACTTGAATTATTATATAACCTCTCGAATGAACTCCGAAAAATAAGATATATTTCTATATTAAAAAAATACCCATAAATAGAGCCCTTTTTCAAGAATTCTTTGCTATAATATTGAAAAAAAACATTATATATTCTTAATAAGCAATTTTTCCATTTTTTTTAGGTCAGGATGGTATTAGATTACTCAAAATGGGACAAATTGGAGTTGAGTGATGATAGGTAAGTATTATTAACTATATGAAAGTAAAAAGAATAAATTTAACGTATTTTTAGTGATATAGAGGGTTTTTAAATAGAATCAGTTGAAAAAAAATAACTAAGATAATATATAGTTCATCCAAATGTTGATAAACGTTCATTTATTCGATGGAAACAACGTGATATTCATGAAAAGAGACAAGCACGAAAGCAAGCTATCTATGATATTAGTTCTAATCTTCAAATGAATAAGGATTTAAAGGAACAAGTTTTAAGATTGATTTATGCATTAAAAACATCAAATCAAGAACCGGATAAAGTGGTTATGAATATTTTACAAGAAATTTCATTGGAAAATATACCTCATATAGAAGGAGCAGTAAAATATAATGTCTCTATTGGGAGATTAATTGAGAAAGTAAAAGAAAAATTAGGAGAAACAGAAGGAGAAAAACGTCGTCAGGGATTTATTAAAAATTTTGAAGAAAATATAGAAAAATTGGAAGAATTAATCAATAAAGCGAATCAAGATCTTGAAAAACTGGAAGAGGAGGGAAGGGGAAAGATTACATCGGAAGATATACGAGTTGGGTTTGAAAGTTCTGTATGTATATATATAAATATAATTCCAACTGACGAATTAGTCTATAACGAAGCTTCCTACAACAAAAAAGAAAGAAAAGGTTCAAACAATTGAAATTCTTAATAAAAAAACATTGGAAGACAAAACAACAGAAGACGTATGTTTGACAGAAAATGATTCAAATATGGATGATAATACAGAGCATATTGAACCATCTGAAACAGGAAGGGAATTTTCCAAAGTTAATAGTCAGGACTATCATGCCCTCCTCAATTTTATTAGTTTACATCCTGACATTGTTCTGGATGAACGAGAAACAGATGGGTTATTAATTGATGCATTTAATTATCAAATGCAAGGTAATGAAAAGCTGGCAAAACAATGTGTTCATCAAGGGTTACTTCTTCAATACTGTCGCCAATTAGGGAAAGACGGCGTCTCTTTATTTTTTCAAAGGTAATATTTAATCATATACGCAATACGATTGTTAACATTACACTTTTAGAGTAACATCAGCTAATCATGCAGCATACAAGTTATTTAATGATGATGTGGAGCAAACATATTCTCGAATTAAGGTTCGGGCAGCAGAAATTATGGAAGAACGTGAAACATCATCTGGAGTAGAACAAATTCAACTTCATGCAGTTGATCCTAATGCCAAAATCTCCATTAACATCCCCCCAAAAGATTCAGAAGATCCTAATGTTCAAGAAGCGCGCAAGATATTCGAATCCTTTTCTTTAGATTTGCAAGATGCATTAGAAAGTGGTCAACTTGAAAATATAAACAAGGTACTTGCTAATATTCCATTGCAAGAAGCAGAAAAAATCGTAGGTGACTTAAACAGAGGCGGTATGCTTAGTATTGAAAATGAAATGATTGATGCAACTAAAGGGGATTTTTGTATAAATAAAGACAAAGAAAACATGTAAAAATAACATCAATACAATTAGTTAGTTATAAATATACAATTTATACTCAAAACAACTCTACAAAATTATTTACTTAACATCATCTATTTGTTTTAGCTGAATACTTCATTAATTTTCGACCTACCTTAACAAATTCACTATAATCAATAACTCCATCACCTGTATTGTTAGTCTTTTCTAGGTATATACCGTATTCAAACGGTAACAATTCAACATTACCATCTACATCTGCTTCTCGAATCATTTCATCAACCTCCTCATCTGTCAACTTCTCTCCCAAATTTGTCATGACATGTCTCAGCTCTGCCGCAGAAATAATTCCGTTACCATCTTTATCAAATACCTTAAATGCTTCTCGAATTTCTTCTTCAGAGTCCGTATCTTTCATTTTTCGTGCCATCATTGCCAGAAATTCAGGAAAATCTATATAAAAACTTAGAAATCCAGAAAAAAACCATTTGATACGAATTTCCCATGCTTTATTTTCTTATTTTCCCTCTCAAAATACTTACCAATTGTTCCATTCCCATCTGCATCAACCTCATTCACCATATCTTGTAGTTCTGCTTCAGTTGGATTCTGACCTAATGATCGCATAACAATTCCAAGCTCTTTCGTTGTAATAGAGCCTATCATTTATAAATATTACTTTGAATTTTAACAAATAAAAAAATACCATCACCATCCTATATATTCATTAATTGTGTTCTACAGAAAATCAATAGAGTATTTAAAGAGAATAATATAAACAAGATATTATATAAAAGATGATTATCTCCAAAAACTAAGCATATATCCATTACTTATATTCAAATTATTCAAAATACTATAAAATCCTCCAAAAATAAATAAAAACCAAATCCTCACACTCCATACTTTCCAATATACTTTTATAGAATATATCTATATTTTTATACATTTTTTTATATATCCATTCTTGTATCAATATTTTTCCTATTAAATTTTATATACTTTATCTCCCCTATTATATGCGCACTATATGCGTTATATATGCATTCCACTTAAATTATCCATGTATTCTCTCCCAATTTTCATCATCTTTTTATCTTTTACTCCTTCTATACTCTTATTTCAGCAACCTTATCAAACAATGAAAAAGCTTCTTTAAACTCTGAAATTTGTTCTTCTGTTAAATTCTGTTCATTATTCTTTCACCATCAGTTTAAAATAATTTTCAAATACTCTTAAAACTTACCATCTCTGTAAACTTAAATCTATCGTCCTAGAACCTGTACAGAGTTAGAAGATTTATCCATACGAGACACGAAAAAACACAGAAAACCGTTCAAAAAAAATATCACAAAAAACATAACAAATGGCAACGAGAGATCGAACCGGCCTATTTCTTTCTTATAGACAGTCATTTGCACATCATCCCATCCATTTAAAGGATGAAAAACAAGGCCTTTTAGATATGGTAATTGAAATAGATTATTTGCCACCAGACTGGTCAGAAACAATAAAAGAAATAGATGTTTTACTGGAAGAAATCAGGTCAAAACGAGAAATGCTGGAACGCTTATACCGGAAAAATATGTTACCAGGATTTGATGATCGACGAAAAGATGAAGGGGAAATGGAGGAATTATGTGATCATACAACGCAGGTATGAAAGAGAAAAAGAAGGGATTATGAGTGAAGAAAGATGGAATGCATATACGACGCATACAATGCGTATACAATGGGTATAAAAGCTAGGACAATGTGCACTTATCTATATGTTTCTTATATATATATTTATATATGCTTCGTATCTTTTCTAGACATTTTTATATTTCTTCAATATATATTCTTTAGATCTTTTCAGTTGATGCAGCAGACGCTTTTTATACATGAATTACACAATTTTTTTGGATTTAATCACTGTTTTATCTAACTTTTATAAAGCGTCTAAGAAAATGTCAAGATTTGATTAAAACGGTGGTTCCTAGGCCAGGATCAACTCAAACAGAGGCTATTATCACGAAAAATGTTCAAATAGTATTAGCAAATAAAGTTCAAATGGAAAATATGGCATTTAGGAAGAAACAATCTGCTTATCTTCAACGTATGATATCTTCTTCCAAATAATTAAGCTGTTTTTGACATGTAAAATGTAGAATTGCGTGAAACATATCAAAAAATATTTCTTCCACTTGAACATACAGAAAATTCAGAAAAAATGTTTCAGTCGTCGTTAATGGTTTCAAATGATGCAGAAATTACTTTTCGGGAGCGAGAAATTGCAAATATTACTAAGGGTATTGTTGAATTGTCAGATATATTTAAAGAAATCCAGTCATTGGTGACAGATCAAGGGTTTTTTTTATTTTTTTTCATTTTTTTTTGAAACTTATTCCGTCTTCAGAAGTATCATTGATTGCATCAATATTTACGCTGAAAATACATCTACACACATGAAAGATGCAAACAAAGAACTCGATTATGTAATTGTTTCTCAAAAAGTTTTTATATAATGTTAAAATATACTAGGCAGAAACTTTTCAAAAAAAAAGTCGAAAAAGAAAATTAATTTTTCTTCTTATTCTTATTATTATCGGGCTACTTATCATATTTATTATCAAATCTCACTGATAAAATAATTTATTATTTTTTTGATCAATTTTCAAGTTTTAAAATATTTTATTATATATCATTGGATATATCTGCATTATGTTTTTACATGGTAGCATTTATCTATGAATATTTTATTTTGGTATATATTACTCATGGAATTAAATCGGGAAATATCAGCATATAAAGGAAAGCAATAAATGTTTTGGAATAGCATATACTTATTTATAATCTTACAAAATATAAAGACAATCATTTAAATCATAAGGTATAGAAATATCGGAAAATATTTTGTTAGTGATTTCTATTTATACAGAAATAAAAATGTTTATAAATGATTTATTATTTCAAACTTTTTCAAAGCAATTTCAACATCTCTATTATTTTTCAATTCTTCTGTAATTTTATTCAATTCTTCTGTATATATTCCAATTAGGTACTTAATAAATACTATATAATCCTTTAATATAATCGATTTCTTAAAATATTGTTTATTCATAACTTTTTCCCATGATTTTGCAAAGAAGTCGGGTGGTACTATAAGCCTATTTCGAGCCAATTCTATAGAAACGATACTTAATACATCATTCCAAATATTTATCGTCCGAATATTATTAAAAAGACACCTTACTATGTCTAAATCTATAACTATCTTGAAATCTGATAAAGATTTTAATAATGAAAGACTTTCTAAATGTGCATTTGCAAACATAAAAGCTTCTATAAATCCTATAATTGTTCCCTTCTCGACAAATGTCCCTTTCTTTTTTTCTAAAATATAATAAATCTCTTGTACGTCATTAAAACTCCCCATACACCGGACATATTCAATCATCGAATGCTTATTATCATTTATTTTTTCCAAAGACAATGTTTCTTGTTGACCTTGACTCCATAAATATTTAATAAAATCATATCTATAAGTTTTGGAATTTCTAAGATTCAATTCAAAAGCTTGTCTATATAATACAGAATAATGTTTTTCAGACAATTTCCAACAATTATGTCTTAAAATTTCAAAACACTTCTTAAGACCAATAAAATTATCAAATAAAGAAAAACATAAAATTAAACAAATGATCGAATTTTTATGTAATTTTGTAATATTTTGTGTAAGATATTGAAAAAAATTCATAGTATTAGCACTTAAATGAATATTTAGATCTAAATGAAATTTATACTTCCTTCCAAGTCTTAAAAAAGCTGAAGCGATCTCAATTTGACATTGTTCTATTATTTTATTCTTATGAGGATGTTTAATAATAAAACTCCATAATTTATCAAATTCATAATATGTTAAAGAATAATTCGCAAGTATTTTAATAGTCTCATGATTCAGATACAAATTAAAAAATATCTTACTATAGAAAAACATAAGATAAGATTCCCTTCTCTTTATATCTTCATCTAAGGCAGTTTTCTTCAACGCAACCCTCAATACGAGATTTATGACTGAAAAAGGAGGAATTTGACAGTTCTTAACCATCTCTCCAAGTATATGTATAGCCTTTTTCAATCTACCCTGCATACAGTAAATTTTTAATAAATAAATTCTAACTATATTATATATATCAATTGAATAGGATTTTTTTGCAAACATTATAGCAACTAATATTTAAATATTTTAATAAGTATGCAAATTTATTAAAAACTTACACAAGATTTCTGGATTTTCGTATGAATATCGAGCTTCTAATTTCATAATGATAATAGCAGAAATTCCCATCAACCTTTTTTTTAAATCAAAATTAACAAGTGTTTGCAAAAAATTCTGCAAAAGCACCAAGCCTTGTTTTCTTTTATCAAAAAAATATATTCTATAAAGATAATAGCGTATCAATGTTTCAATCACATTTCCTGAATAAATAGAAAAATCCAAGAACCCCAGAATCCTCTTCTCATCAAATGGTTCAAAACATTTTGCCATTTGAGAAAGTAACTATAATAAAATTAATATATACACAGAACCATACTAAAATACACACAAAACAAGCATTCTTTCTTTCAAATGAGTATTCATATTTCATCTTTCGTGGTATTTTATATGCCGTAATAATATTTTTATCTGATTTTTCATATAATCTTTGTAATTTACGAACCATCTTAAATTTTTTACAGGGCAAAAGACTATCCATAGCATTTGAAAAATCTTTCAACCCATGAATAATAGCATCCATATTAATACAAGGATAGAGAGATAACTGTTTCTCAATAGCAGAATAGACTGTATTTTTTCCACCATTTTGTATTTTAATACCTCGCTTATTTATATAAAAATTGTTATTTTTTTTCAGAAGAAAAAACACCATCAACCATTCACTTATTCAAAGTAACAAATATAGACACTTTCCCATGTATTTATAGTTAATTTAATATATTTTTAATATGATAATCATATTAAAAATATTTTTTTATTTATCGAGAACTTAAAAAATTGAAAAACATTATAACTAAAATGAACCATCATTTAGCAGTATTCGGTGGAACCGGATTCCTAGGTATGTAAAATATTTCCATATATTTATCTATGTTTTATTTGTTAAAGGTCAACATATTTGTAAAACAGCAATTCAAAAAGGCTGGACGGTTACTTCAATAAGGTATAGCTAACAATAGAGATTAAATAGCCCAAAATTGATTTAAAAAAAGTCGAAGAGGTATGCCTAATAGCGACCAACATAATGGAAATATTCAGAACTGGACACAAGAAGTAAATTGGTGCAAAGGAGATTTAAATGATCCAATTTCTATAGAAAATCATGTAAAAAGTGCATCAGCAATCATATATTCTGTAGGAACCCTATTAGAAAACAGATATAAGCGTTTTCTATCTGGAAGAGATAGTCTATTTTCACTTTTTCAGTTGTCTCAAGATGAAGATTTAAGTTATGATAAGTTAAATAGAGATTTTGGTAATTATTGAACAAATATATCCGATCCTTATAAATGTATAGGAAGCAATCCAGATAGCAGATATGGCATCTCAGATGAATAAAAACATACCATTTGTGTATCTTTCAGCAGCAAATACATTCCCAGGTATTCCTAGAAAATATATTGAATCAAAAAGAGAAGCAGAAGATTATATATGTTCCGTTCAAAATATAAGACCTATTATTATGCGACCAGGTACATTTTATTATTATTATTAATATTCTTAATTGTTTATATAGGTTTTATATATTCCAAAGAAAGACCTATTTCTTTACCCCTTGCAGGGATTATCGATATTACCTCTAATATTAGTAAGCTATTTTGTAGAAAAATATCATTTTTAGGTGCTGCAGGTGTAAAGCCTTTAAAAGTTGAAACTGTAGCAAACGCAATAATTCAATCTATTCATGAAGAATTTAAAGGTATCGCAAGTGTAGAACATATTGAAAAATTAGCTTCTGTACTACAAAAAACACGTTCATGACATGTATCTTATTGAATAAGTGCATAGATATATAGATATTATAATAAAAATATTTACATTTTTTCAATCGAAAATTAAATGACTGAAACCGAAATAACATACAATTTTCAGACAGCTGTACCTCTTTCAAGACTTTCTCGAATCTCTCTTGTATATTTGTCATAAAATCTAAAAAAAATAATTATTTTTAAAAGAAAATAAATGCAAATACCTTGAAATTTTCCTATTGAAATTCGCATTTCTTTCATTTCTAATATTCCTGTTAATACAATAAAAATGAACTCTTTTTCGAAAACATACATATAGCTAACATCCTCGTCATCTGGATCAATTCGTCTTCTCGATTTATTTCTCATTTCCTTCCTTTAAACAATTAGAAATAAGAAATATAACACGAAAAAACACTTACTGTTTATTAAGATCTTCAATAAGACGATCAATTGCTTTTTTACTGGGTTTATTATTCGCAAACCCAAGAAAATTTGCATCCCTATAAAATGATTCATATGTATTTGTCACTTCTGAATCATTTTCATCCAATATCGTTTTATTTGCAACAACTTTTGCTCGTTCTTTCTCATACGTTTCTAAATCCGGTTTAAACTTACGCATCAATTTTTCATAACTATGTTGAGCTACTTGTGTATAATCTAACCACTTTTAGTTCAAAACTCCCCCCGTAATATTAAAACTTCATAACCTGCAAATAATGACTTATCACGTGCTTCTTGTTTCTCTTTCATTCGTTGATCCCATCGTTCTGACTCTTCGATTGTCCAATCCCATGCACGTTTCCTCTCATAATCTTCTCCTCTCTCTATAGACTCCTGTTTCTCTAATTTTTTCTCTGCGTCTTGTCTTTTAAACTCAATTTTTTTTGCTAACTTTGGATCTTCTTTTAAACGCTGATATTCACTAAATAAATCCTTACGATTTGCCTCTGCTGAAAGACGCATACGTTTTCTTAAATTCATTAATTGATCCATACGGTTCTTAACCTTTAAACTTTTTTCTTCATTATCCAAATTTTCTGGATACCCTAATCTCTCATCAAATTCCTTTGTTTTTGGTCAAATTTCACCGTTTTTTTTCCTTTTTTTTGACTAACCTTTAAACCTTTATTATTTACATGTTCTTTATCTATATTTTCTAGATATTCTCCATTTTTTTCTCCTGTTTTTGTCATTATCTTTTCATTAGTCATCTCAAAAATTCTAATACGTCTCGCCGATCAACCTGATAAAAAGTTTAAAAATTCATTTAAGTGCTTTTGCACTAAAACAAGATAAAATACATTATCTTAGAGTCAAGAAGCTCTCTAATATACAAGATATTAAAGAGTTGCAGTGTTTTAGATGGCACCAATAAGCCGTGTTCCAAAATGTCAGATAATCAGACCTATTGTGATTGGAAATATTGCTATGCCTTTAGGTGATAGAAAGAAGCCAGATTCAGATCATACACATGCATGGACAGTGTCTGTAAAAGGGATTTATGATGAGGATTTATCATATTTTATTAAAAAAGTGGTTTTTAAGCTACACGATACATACCCAAATGCTACAAGAAGTATAGAAAAAAAATGAAAAATATAGGAATTAAAAATATTTTAGCAGTTGATAAGAGCCCGTTTGAAGTTTCGGAGACAGGATGGGGGGAATTTGATATTGCAATACGTATTTATTTTGTGCCAGAAGCAGCAGAAAAAAGTATTAGTCTTTTTCATCGATTAAAATTACATCCATATGGACCAAACTCAGAAATTATTCGAGAGCAAGGTCTTTCTGTAACAAGTTATCAATATGATGAAATTGTAAATGATTTCATATATTTTTTATTTTATGAGTTGATTTACAGATAGATATTTAATGAGCCTACAGAAGCCATGTATGATATCTTAACAAGACATTCACGAGCAGTTTTACCTTTAGACCGTTCACCTACTAATTTATTTAGTATGATCTAAGAGGACTAAAATTGATAGTTTTATGACTAATGATGATAAGGTCAAAGAACAGAACAAGAAGAGCTAGATCGTTTAGAACTTGCATTAAGAAAAGTAGAAGAAATGACGAAAGAATATAAGGAGAAAATAATTCAGCTAGAAAAGAAAAATACAAAAAATTTGGAAATATGAATAAATTTCATTTTAATATTAAATGTATCACAAAAATGCAGAATAAGTTATGTAAAGAATTTTAATATACTTTAAAGGATTTTAAAGGATCATTTTTATTCTTAAAATACTTTGTTCTTTTTTTAAGATTAGAAACACGAACTTTATTGATTCGATTCATATTTTTTTTATGAAAACTAACATGTCCAATATTTTCTGTAATATTTATCCTTTCTTTTTTTGGTAGTAAATAATTTGGTACATGTTTAAGGTGTGGTTGAATTCTTGTTGGATGAAGCTCTTTATCATGTCGAAGCTGTTGTAAATCATTCGGATTTTCATCGAAATATTTCTTGAGTTTTTCATTTGAAAGTACTTCCATTCTCAACTCCTTTTCTCGGGCTTCTCTTATAACTGTCCTTGTAATAGCTCTTAACGCATCTTCCATTCGATATCGAAATGCATTAACATGTTCCATATTAAAATTGTAAGGTTTAATTGTAATTCCTTTAATTTCCTGGTCTTCTTTTATCTTTTCAAATATAGATTCATCATATTTCGCAGTTTTTAATAATATGCTTTTATGTTTTCCCCATAGTTTTTCTGGTACAATAAATGAAATAACCATTCCACTTTTATTCGCTCTAGCTGTTCTTCCAGATCGATGTATATATGATTTTACAGTAGTTGGAAGATCGAAATTTAATATACAAGCTACATCTTTAAAATCAATTCCTCGAGAAACACCATATTCGCCATCTTTATGTATTCTTTTTCGTTTTTTTAAGACACTGTTATCTTTTTTTGAAATTATCTTAGTTGATTCATTATTTATATTTTCTTTTAAAATTAATTATTTAAAATTCAAATAGAAAAATGCAATTTACCTTGCATATCATCTATAGAATCAGATTCTTTTGATAAATTGTTTTCATCTGTTGCTAATATGATATCATATACGTTTTTATTAAATTCCTCAATAGTATGTAAACGAGAATTAATAGGAAGTTCCGAATTCAAAACACAACTCCTAATACCAAACTGTTCCAAAAATAATTTTACCTTGTAACATCTATCTATATTATTAACAAATATAATGATTCTTCCTTTTATAAGTCGAAGTTTAAGTATAACATATATAAGAAGAAATTTTTCATCTTCACTACATCTATATGAGATTAAAAAAGAACCAATATAAATATTAAGTAACACCTTACACTATATTGTGAAAGATTAGAATATGAATCTTTTTCTTCTAATTTTAAAATAACAGGATCTTTACAAATCACTTTTTTTAATTTATCAAGATCTTCAGTAAATGTAGCAGTAGTTAAGAGCATCTGAACCCTTTTAGGTATATATTTCATAATATTATCAAAGTCTTCTGAATATCCATATGATAAAATTAAATCAAACTCATCAATAACAAAATGCAATAAACTTTCTTGGATATGAAGATTTGAGGCATTCAGATGAACTATAATTCTAGATGGCGTACCAACTACTATCTCAGGACACTCAGATATCAATATTCTTAAATCCCGTCAATGTAAAACAGCAAAAATATGCATAAAATTATTTTCTTTCTTACCTTGCTGCATTGTCTGAAATATTAGCTGCCAAATTAACAACCCTTATAACTTTTCCACAATAAAATGTAAGTTCCTTAATATTATTCGTAACTTGATTAGAAAGTTCCCTAGTAGGAACAATTATTAATGATCTTGTCTCTGATTGTTTTTGAGACTGATCTATTTTAGATTTTTTTCTTCAAAAAAAAGTATTACTTCTTTATTTTTCAAAATATTCTCAATAATAGGAATTAAATAAGCGGCCGTCTTTCCTGATCCTGTACGTGCCTGTACAAAAATATCTTTTCCTTCTAAAGCTAAAGGAATTACTTGGCTTTGAACATAAGTAGGACTACGAAACCCCAGTTTTAAAACTGCTCGTACAATTCGAGGATCCAAACAGAATGATGAGAATGTATTGTGCGCATTTGCACTATTTTCCTTGTATTTATTATCATGTTCTTTATCCATTAGATAAAGATTTTTTCCCTTGAGGTAGTTACTGTGGTAACACACAGACTAAATTAAACGACATAATTTAAATAAAAACTTTAAGAACAATCAATTTATCTTAAGTCTTCTTTTTTTGTATATTTTTTTAAAATTATTGTTTAATTTTTATATTTTTTATCATTTGTTCAAAAATAAATAATATAATAAAAACATGATTTTTAAAATTTTTTGTATAATTTTTATTAAGTTATAACTCATTTAATTCAAATATATCTTTAAGAGTATGATTTCATGTTTTATAACAATATAAATCTTTTTAAGATGAAAAAACAAGTAATTGGATTTTTTATTTCAAAAAAATAAACTATTTAATAAAAAAGATCAACTTTAGGAGGTGAGTAATAATAATTTTATTGTTTAATATTTAGATAATAAGCAATAAAATTATCATTTGAAAGTAGTACTTTTAAAAAAAGATATAAACAATAAAAATAAAAGCACTCTTATGAACAAAGGATAAAAAAAGGAAATTTAAACAAATTAAATCTTATATAATATATAAATCGTCACTTTAAAACATATTTATAAGTATTTTGTATAATTAAAAAATTATGGATTATTTAGAATCTTTAAAAATATTTATACCGATTATATTCAAAATATAGTATTATTATTTCTATATAAAAAAATACAAACATATTTATTCAATATTTTTTAGGTTAAACCATCTTTATAAACATTATTCTATTTTATCCTACATTCAATTATTATTCATTTTAATTTTTCTATTTTTAAAAATTTATTTTAAAATGTACAGAACTACCTTAAGTTTTATCTAAGTAAATATATTAATTTACTAATTCATCCTTTCCAATCCTAATTTTTCAACAAATGCTTTTTTTTGTAAAATTAGCTTTTTAAACAACCTTAAAAAAAAACAAGCACTTGAATTTTAACATGAAAAAAGAGTATTAAGATATTTAATGAAAACTTCTTTTAAATTTTAAAAAATCTACAAAATAATAAAAAAACATATCATTGAACTATCAACTACTTATTTTTTAAATAATTTAATCTTAAACTTAATAAAAATACCAATTTTACCCCCCCCCCCCATTATATTCATTATTTAGAGATTTATCATTTTTATCCTTTCCATCCTCTAACCTAAATTACTTAGCTATAATTTTTAAAAATAATTATATTAAATTATTCAATAACTTTATTTTTTATTCAATTTCATTCTAAATCATATAAAGACTAAAAATCTACATAAATATCTATTTCCAACTTCGAAAAACATTTTCAACAAAACATTCAATAAATAAACCATTCTTTCAACAACACCTTATTTATCAACTCAACCCCATTCTAACATATAACTTTTATTAACATTATCTCATTTATTTATTCTAAAAAATATTTCTTAACAAGTCTCTAACTTATTTATAACTTTAAAATAAAAAATAAAAATAAATATCTTCATTCTACGAAACTATATTCATTTCTTATAACCTTTATTCAGATATGAACACCATAAAAAACAATGCTTTAAACCTCGACCTTGTCGGAATCGATTGTAAGCTCAGGGACACGAAAAAAAAAGATACGATGTTTTTAGTCAGATGAGGGTTTAGTTTGGAGGATTTTTGAACAGATAAAGGGCCAGATAAGACACAGAACAGACATCCATGCCTTATATGCCACCGTCATGTAGTTCTTTGAATAAAATTTCAGCATCCGTTCTAAAATGTACTATGGATCAAAAAATCGAAAAAGAATATCATGAGAAAAATACAAGTAAATTTTAAAAATTAGGATAAAATATATAAAATCTGATTACAACGCAGTTCTATGGGACAAAGAATGGGAAGAGTTGCCGGAAATATGGTTTTCTACGTCATCAAAACAGATGAAAGAAGATATGTTTGATTCAGAAAAGAAAGATATAAAGAAAAAGGAACAAGAAAAGCGGGAAACCAGAAATAATATGATTGAAAGTATTCCGGAATATTTATCTAATAGCCTAAGAATGGATAATTCATATAAATATACGCGTGAATGGGAAGAATGGAATAATAAAGAATGGCAGCCATGGGAAGTAAATGAAGAAAAACAAGAACTACAGAAACTATCTAATTATTTGCGGAAGGTTTCATCAAGTCCATCATTCGAAAGTACATTATCAGCATATGGAAATACAACGAAGGAATTAAATCTATCAACAAATTTAAATCTAACAGAAAGCACGGATGCATTAGAAGATTCTAATAGACTAAAAGTTGTTAGAAAGAAAAGTGGGGAATTAGTAAAATCATCATTAAAATCAGAAAAACACAAACGTCCACAATCTATGCCGTCAACTCCTATTTTACACAAGAATGTACAATTTGCAACAAAATTAGAGGAAATTAAGCATTTTTCTCAAGCAGAAAAGCCAGAAGAAGTAAGTAAAAGCGGATTAGTAGATGAATCATATCAAGATATATATGGAATGGCATTTGATTATGATTTATATGATCTAAAAAAAGAAGAAAAAAATTCGGATTTGACAATTGAATTAGTAAATTTTGAAAACAGTGGAGCATTATGTTTGTCTCAAAATGTACAATTGGAGACTGTATATCTATCTTCAGATAAGAGACATTTATTAGGAAGGGTTGCAGTGAAAAATATATCATTTGAAAAAATTGTTGGAATTAGATTTACAATGGATTTTTGGCAAACAATATCAGAAGTAAATGCTGAATATACAGATGATATATTAACAAAACAATATAAGGATAATCTTGATAGATTTGTTTTTAATATTAAGTTACATGAGCTTATGAATATTGAAGATAAGACTCTATATCTTTGCGTGCGATATAGAATTCCAGGGGAAGAATTCTGGGATAATAATTCAGGCATGAACTATAAAATAGGCTTTAAAAGAAAATTCAAAACGCATACACGTCCCTTTACTCATTTTCCAGCTTTTTCTTTAGGAAGTCGATATTTAGATGATGATTTTAATACAGAGTCAGATTCTCACTTATCTATGTTTCAATCATATAAAAACGATCCATTTCACGTTTCTCTAATGAATGATAGCACAAATACCAAACAATCATTACGCAAAAAAGATAATTTCGCTAATATTTTTTCGAATCGATATGATTTTAGTACTTCACTCACAGCAGCTATTAAAGCATCTGGCACTACGAATTATAACGAGAGTAAAAATAACGATTCTAAAACAAAAGACATTAATTCTTATGAAGATTCCATAGAAAACGTAGATTTATATTTTTCAGATTTATTTTTAGTAGAAAAACCATTAACTAGGAGCCAGAGTAATATATCTTTTGGAAATGACATTTCAAATACCCTTTCATTAAATGATACCAAATTATCGACATCTTTCCAAGAAAATAAAAATGCATGTGATTTATTCAAGGGAAGTTCGAAACCATCTGTAGATTCTGTTTTATATCAAAATTTTTTAGATAGTTATTGTTTTGTAAGTATTTCGCTTTTTTATATAAAATTCATAAATATTTAGTTCAGAGGATCGGATAAAATAAACACTCAAGACGCTGAATCTATAACTTATACAGGCGAAAATCCGGAGAAAAATATTCCTTCAATATCTCATAAAAAATCTAATTCATCCAGTTCTTTGTCATCTATAAATGAATTTATCCCATTTTCTTCATTTTCTGGGCCATTATTTTATTCTCAATCTTCATTATCTTCTATTTCTTCAGTTGATAGTGTATCAAATGTACAGCAACCATCTGAATCAAAAACGTCAATTGACCTTTATTATAATCATTTGATTAATTCATCACTTACTCTTGAGACACCAGGAGGTGCTCTTACTGCCATACGGACTTGATATTAGTAATATTCTAAAGACTTTTATTTTTTTGCGAATATTTACGGTATTCTTTTAGTTTTTCTTTTTTACTTGCATTTTCATTAAAATGCAAATTTTTAATTACAATATAGAATTTTGCATAAATTGCCTTAATAGTTATTTTTTCTTGTTTTTACTATACGTATATTAACTGTTTACAATTTATATACAAAAAATAACTCTCATTTTAACTTATTAAAAAATCATAAAATTTTTAAGCCCATTTTCATAAAAATTAGAAAAATACTCATAAAAATATTAGAATTCATATAGATATATTCAATTTAGATTTCCTTAAGAAACTTTTAAAACAAATTAAACTCTCTTAATTATAACTTTATCATAAAAACATGTATTAAAAAAATTTAAAAAAATATTAACAAAAAAACAATCAAAATCTTTAAAAATAAAATAAAACATCTAAGAAATTCCTATCAAAAATATATTTATTTTATTTTTTATAACAAATCAATATAAAGATTAAAACACATATCTTAAATCAATTAAAAGCAATAAAAAATATAATTTTAAGATACAATTATATTAAGAAAACTCCTTACAAAAAAATCAATATTTATATAATAAAAACTATGACATAGACTCTTTAAATATAATTACTATAATAACAAGCACAGAAAGTAGGCAAATCGAGAAAATGAAAAAGATTAATATATAAATGTCAGAACTTAATTATTACTGGGATTTGGCATCAGAAGATCCGGAATTACGGGCTCAAGCTTCTATAAAGCTTATTGAAAGTGTTAGATTATCAATTCCTAAAGATCAGGAAAAAAAGAATATAGAAAAATCAGAAAATTTTTTAGAAAATGTTTTAGGAGAGAAAGGATTGTACGCAATAACAAGATTAGTTAAAGGTCTATCAAGTAGTAGAAATCATAGCAGATTGGGATTTTCTACGGCATTATCAGAGGTGGAAAAAGGATATTTTTTGAAAATAATCTGATTATTTAGTTTCTTTTAGAATTCGAAGATATAGATGTTGAAGATGTTGTCAAATTAATTGAGAAATATAATGTAGAAAAAAGGAATCATTCTACACAGGTAGAATTTAATTTATGATTAAGTATATATTAATAATTGAAGGAAGAAAGAGATTTTTTATTTGGAAAATTATTTGGTATAAAAGCAATTTTGCTTTCTAAGATACTTCAAAGGACAAAGTCTGTGGAAAAGATAGAAAAAGTGATAGATGTATTAATAGGATTATCTTTAAAAAAAGGATGGCTAAGAGAACCATGTTTTTTTGTAATAAACGATATATTAGTACAGCTTAAAGACTTTCCTCAATATGAAGAAGTCTGCAGTATAACTCTTAAGAAAATATGTGATTTAAAGATGTCTAAGACACCAGAAGGGGTTGGAATAATATTAACAATTCATAAATTTGTAAGAATTTTATTTTTGATGATTTATAATATGTAAACATTAATTAATGATTTAGAAAGATTTAAAATCTATTGGAGATACACAATGGAGTCCTTTAAATCCCCTTGATTCATCTAACTTAGAAATTCTAGCTAAAGTTTTAAAAAATGATAGTATTGATTCAGAAACAAAACAAAATGGAAATTGGAACGCAAAATTGCATTTTGTTTGGAATATAATCATAGAAATGTACACATTAGAAGCGAATAATGCTGTCAATTCATCATTTTTAGAATTTTGGACTAAAGTTATTGATGGTAAATAATAATATTTTTATTCTTATTTTAACAGATATCCAGAGTCCTTTTTTTCAGCAGCATCATCTCTTGAAAAAAAATTTTTGGGATTTCAAGTATTTAATATAGCATTATCTAAAATTGAAAATTCAGATATAACCCATTTATTTTCTAAAAATTTTATGCGTTGCTTTATAAATCATTTGTCAGATGAAAATAGATATCTGAACAAAATTTCAAACAAAGTGGTACGTTATATATATATATTATTATAATATATATAAGTATAATAGATTTCATGTATAATTTCAACGGCTAATACTCGAAAAAAAGTTATTCTTCCAATAATCCAATCTCTTTTAGGGCCTTTAGGAGCATTAAATTTTGACAAAATTACAAAAACTAAACTTGTAGAATCTTTAATTTCTTTAGCCGATGAAACAAGTTTATGGGATATTTTGCAATTGTTAAAAACAATTACATGTTCTCCGTGCTCAAAAAATGAAGATATAGATCAGAAACGTCAAATTTCAATTGATATAATGCTTAGCATTTTAAGAAACAAGAAATGCAATAAAAGCAATGAATGGATAATAAATTATATCACATTTTTTGTAACTTACGGATATTTTGAGCCTAAAGTAATAAATTATTAAAAAGTATTTTTATCAAAAGTAATTATTTTTAGTCGGAAGATTTTAAACATCCATTTTCTACTAATACAAAAACTATATTAAGATCTCGTCTTTCATCATCTCTTGCACATTTAAACTCTAGAAATCACTCTATAGAATATAGCAAAAATTTACAAAAACATTTTTTTTGGTCATCTTTTATTATTGAACTAATTATTTCATTATCTGAATCTGAAAAATATAATTTATCAGTAAACATGGATTCAAAAACTCTTAAAATTAAAAATAAATCCATAAAAATTTTTAAAAAGATTTTAATAAAGGTAAATTTACTATATTATAAAAAATATACTTAATAATTTTAGAAATCTAATCCAGAAAAAAAGATAACACAAGAACTACTCGCTTTTGAATTATTATATTCCTTATCTATTTTGCAACTTTTTAATGAGGATCCAGAAGCTAGTTCAGTTCTTGAAGTATTTTTTACAATATTTAAAATAAAAAATATTGACCAAAATATAGGAACTTAAAATCTGTTATAATAATTTTTTTAAAAAAGAAACAAAATTGTCAGAAAATACAATTGAAATTCTCACTGATATTCTTTTGGGATTTTTGTCTAAACATTCTATTTTATTTCGAAAATTAGTGGAACAGACATTTAGGTATCTTTCAGATAAAATAAATCATAAATGTCTGTTGTTATTGATAAATGTTACTGTGTTTTTACTTATGCTAATATCTAACGTTTTATTAGGTTCTTCAAGCAGACGAGAATTCAGAAAAAAACACTCTATTTGAAGAAATTACTTCAGATGAAGATTATAATATTATAGACAATAGTTCTAAATCATTAAATAATGGTGATAAAACGGATGCAGAAGAAAATTTTAACAGTAAAATTAACTATATTAAAAAAGACAATGTATTTAAGAAATCTCTAGATATTTCCTTAGGTATTTCTAATGAAGATGTTGAGAATGATTCCGAAGAGTCTATAGACGATGAAAAAATGTTAGAATTACATAAACATATAGGAAATATGCTAAAAAAAAGGAAGAAAAAAAGCAAAAACAAAAATGTTGATCTCAGAGAAAATATTATAAATTTTAAAAGAAAAGTTCTGGATATATTAAATATTTTTTTAGAACTACGTAATGAAGACCCAATAATTCTTGATTTGATTTTACCATTATTAACTTTAATACGTACTACATCAAGTGATATTATTTCAAACAGAGCACGAAATTTAATTGGAAACAAATTATGTAAAGCAAAGATCAATTTAAACGAAATTAAAATTGAACATGCTTTTGATATTCTTAAAAAAATACATGAAGATGCATTAAAAATAAAAAAAAAAAACATAGGAATACCTCATAGTCAATCTAGCATATTTCTTGTCAGAATTATTATCTTCAAAGATATAAATTATACAGATCAAATACTAAAAATATATTCTTCAACATTTAATACATGGATAACAAAAAAGAAAATAAAACTTCAAGCATCATTATTTACTGATCTAATAAATTGGGGAGCTCAATTCAGACAAAAATAGAGTAAGTTTAGATCTTATATAATACAATATATATATATATATATATAACTATTTCAGAAAATATATACATTTTGTATATACCTTTTTTGAAAATTTTAAATACTATCATATATTTTATTTAAAATTTCAAAAATATATCTCTAAAATTTAAAGAAATTAATATTTTTATAAACAAAATTTCATACTTTCACAAAAGACTAGAATTTTCAAATATAATATCTCATTTATAACCATATATTTATCATGATTATAAAATTTGAATATATTACTATAAAAATATCTTAAAATCAATTATTTTCTAAGAATAATAATAATTACAAAAACAAACTTTAAATATTTTTTAAAAATATTAAAAATTCAAATAAATCTAAGAAAATTAAATACAAAATATTTAATGAAATATAATTTTTTTATTTCAATAATCCTAATATCATATCTCTTTAAACACAAATACATAGATACAAACTTAGAAATCATTATCAACAGAAAATTGAAATATAACCTTAATTACCTTAATATATATATTCCATTATTCATATTTTTTAATGACATATATTATTAACAATAACAAAATCTATACTCATTTATATACTAACTTTCATATATAAAAATTATCAAAAACATTTAGTCTAAAAACTATTTTAAACATAAAAATTATAATAATAAAAATGTAACGTTTAAATGTTTAATTTTCTAAAATCATAAAAAAAATACAAATAAAACCAAGTTATATTGCAACCTAATATGCTTAAAAACAAAAAATAAACTAATTTTAGAAAGTATTAAATAAAAATCTAAAAGAGCTTGTTTGTCTTAGCCAAAACTTTTTCAAGTAAACTTTTGATAATCTTAATTCTTTAAAAATTAATTAAAGATATACGTAAATTCTTGTATATAAATAAAATACTTATATAACTGAAATAAAATATCCGAATTTCGTATTTTCTCTATAAAAACAATTTAGATTAATATATTTTTTTAAAAAACAGATTAATTATTTTCTTTAAAAAATTATTTACTTTTTCTTTTTTTAGATGCTTTAATTTTCTGTTTCTTTTCAGCTTTATGCATTTTGTGTTTTCTACGTTCTTTATTTAATTCTTTAACTTGAGTCTTACGTTCCTATATCTTGCATTAAATAGTAATTTAATAAAGTATTGACAAATACCTTTTTTACATTTTTATCTTCAAACCTTTTTAATCTTAAAAGATTAGATCTAGACTCATCATTTTTATTAAAATCATCATCCAATATAGAATCAGTTTTATCAAAATAATCCGATTCAATATCACTATCTGTTTTAGATTCTGAAGAAATATTAATTAATCTCTTGTATAAAAGACCATCTTCATTTCTGTTAATTAATTCTATATCTTTCTCCTCATCATCAACTTGTTTAAGGGTTTGAGGAATATATGAATATTTGAATACTATATCTTCTTTAAAATCAACTGACTCTTGAAATTCTTCCAAACTCTGCATCTCAATCAAGGTTTTCTCAATTTCCTCTTTAGTCGTCCCACCAGAATCAGATATGACAAAATCAAATATAGCTTTTGCATTGAAACAAATTACACCATTTTTTCGAAAAAAATCATTAACATTAGTAATATCCATCCGTAAAAATTCTAAACTGCGAGGATGATTATGTTCAACCGATTGTGATACATCAATTATATATAAAACTTTCGAATGATATCTATTCAACAAATTAACAATGATAAAAAGCATAAAGAAAAAAAGACAAAATATTGTATTCCGATAAATCAGAATGTACCAGATGACAAACTTGATATATAATTCGAATATAACATAATAACTGAAAATACAAATCCGGATATTTGTTGCTTGATATATTCGCATCTTTGAGACGTGGATATGGCCTAATTTATCAATTAAAATCAAAATCAATTTTTAAAAATACCAGGAGTCATTTCCACCAAGAAAACTCATAACAAGAACATGCATACGAAGATACAATGGTTCAGGGCAAGGAATTCCCGCCTGATATAATCTTTTTAAATTTCGCATTTCTTTTTCTGCCCAAAGTTCCACTTTTTTTCTAGGATTATGTCTACAATAATTATGTCGAAACCTATATTCACCAGATACATAGCGATCTCTATTCTTAAAGATCAAAATAGATGTTTTATACACTTTAATAGCTCTTTGTTCCCCACTTTCAGTAACTGCATGATAAACATTTGCTTCTTTACCAGTACTGACACATCCATTTATCTTGTATATTATTCCTTTATTAATCAATTTAAAAAGGATAATCCGAGTCCTTAAATCCAAAACCTGTTCTGTAGTTGCCCTATCTGATTTATCTTTAGATATTTTGACTCTAAAATATAAGAAAAAGATAAAAAAAAAACAAAAAAAGACTTTTCATCACACGGAAAATAATCTTCAAAATTCAAACGATTCATATATTTATTCAAAACATCAATAGTTTCAAAATTTGACAGATTTTGAGAATTTGCTTCTATAACATGCATATTTACTCTAGGAATTCTTCCAAAACCACCAGAACCACTCTTTGATAACTGAATAAAATGTCTTTGACGGTTATATTGCTTTGTAAAATCTAACAAAGTTGAATTATTTGAAAAAAATTCATCATCAATTTAACCCTTATTTCTTCCAATTTCTGTCCAATCTTCATCGTTCAAATCACTCTCATCATATCCATCATCACTGCCTGAGCTTTCTGGAATATACCCTTCGCTTTCAGCCTCATTTTCATAGCTCACTATTATGTTATTAATACTAACTAAAAAAAATTCTCTAAAAACAGACACGAATTACCAAAATTCCCAGGATTTTCTGGAAACCTTAGAATTTGAAATGATTCCATAGAGTTCCTATTCTTTTATATACATTTTATTATCTTTTTATACTAAAAATTAATGAATTATAAACTTTCTTTAAAATTTAGGTCCACGTTCTTAACGTCATCAAAAAGACTTGAAAAAAAATCAATGAAACGCGGTTATTAAATATTTAAACATAAATAAATGTACATAAAACAGGTAGGAACAAAAAGAAAGACAAGAATTACTTTTTTCCGTGCTTTTTTTTGACCAAAATTAGATTACTATTCAAGGTTTTAAATCATATAAAGATCAAACAATAACAGAGATCTTTAGTCCAAAATATAATGTCATTGGTATGATAAGAGATACTATATAAAGCATATTTTATCTAATAAATACGTTTAGTTGGAAAAAATGGGTCTGGAAAAAGCAATTTCTTTTCAGGTGTTTTATATAATAAAAGTAAAAAATAGTCTAATAATTTAGCTATTCGTTTTGTTTTAAGCGATGCATATACGCATATGGGTAGGGAGGAACGTCAGGCACTTCTTCATGTATATATAATTGAAACAATGTTTAAAAAATATTAAAAAATTAATAAAAATATAGGAGGGAGCAGGCCCATCAGTAATGAGTGCTTATGTAGAAATTGTTTTTGACAACACAGACAATCGGTTTCCTGTATAAAATTCATTATTTTCTTAATTGGTATAATATTTGTAGACAGGTAAAGAGGAAGTAGTCCTTCGAAGAACTATTGGTCTTAAAAAAGATGAATATTCATTGGATAAAAGGAGTGTTAAGTAAATTAGGGGGGTTATTGAAAACATTTCTTAATTTTTTATAGTAAATCAGATGTAATGAATCTTTTAGAAAGTGCAGGATTTTCTCGAAGTAATCCATATTATATAGTTCCACAAGGAAGAGTATGAAACTATATATAGAATTAACAAATAAGGCTTACTTTAATAGATCACTGCATTGACTAATGCTAAAGATTCAGGAAGATTGGCACTACTTAAAGAAATTGCAGGGACACAAGTTTATGAGCAACGTAGAGCAGAATCTTTAAAGATTATAGAAGAAACAATGGTTAAAAAAACAAAAATCGACGAATTGCTTAAATATATTGACGAACGATTAAATGAGCTGGAACAAGAAAAAAATGAACTTAAAGAATTTCAAAAAAAGAATCGAGAACGTCGTTGTTTAGAATATACTATTTATGCTAGAGAACAAGAAGAAATTAATAAAGCTCTCACTAATATAGATGAAGAAAGAATTAAAAATATTAATTTAAGCGAAGATAAATGTGATACATTTATAGAAAGAGAACATCAGATTCAGGTATTATTTTGTTTGTTGTAAATAATATTTTGACTTTATCATAGGAAATTAATAAAAATATTTCTATAATAAAGCAACAATTGCATTTATTAAATATAGAAAAGTCTCAGGCGGAAGAAGACAAACACTGTAAAATCAAAGAAAAAGCGCAATTGGAATTTATTGCACGAAATCTTACAGAATCTGATGATGAGCTTAAAAATTCAAAAAATATTCATGAAAAAAAATTAGAAAGTCTTGAAAATGAAATAAAAGAAAAAGAAACACATCTTCAATCACTTCTTTTGGAATTTCAAGAAGCAAAAAATAATGAAATGCAGACAAAAAATAAGTATAATTTCTAAAATATACGTTTTTTTTTTATAAAAATTTTTTAGACTTGAAAATGCTCAAAATCAACAGAATTTACTATATGCTAAAAGAGGACGTAATTCACAATTTAAAAACAAAAACGAACGTGACGCATGGTTACAGCAAGAGATTTCAGATCTGAAAGAAAGCATTAAAAAAAGAAATCAAACTAAAATTGAGTTAGAACAAGAACTAGAAACACTTAAAGAGAAAATCAATGACATCTCAAAACGTACAAAATCTATTAGAGAAGAAATTGAAAATAGATCGCAAATATTAAACAATATTTCAGTTGAACATTCGTCTGCTAGAATAGTTCGTGATCAATTAATGGATGAGCGAAAGTAATCTTAATTTATTATTATTATTATTATTAATATCTTTTAGAGAATTGTGGCGTCAAGAAGCTAAATTGAGTTTAACAATAGAACACATTAAGGAAGAATTAAACCAAGCTGAAAAAAAATTAATAAATACAATAT